CATTTTCCATTCTACCGTATATTATGAAAAATTAAATAACGTATGTTGGAAATGCATCAAGCGACATATCAAGTGCATTAACATTAAAATTATGAACGAAAAAAAAATTGCGAATTTTTAATTGATGATGGGAGGAATTTAGAACGCATTTTTTGGAGGTTGTTGACTGATAAGAATCTGGCAGATGATAAGAGGGAAATGAACTTGTATTGTAAGAATTTTATGAGTAAGGCTGTTGACTTTTAAGAGTTCAAGCTTGGAAACTTTGTTTATAGAAAACTGACACACGTGGTCGGATTATTTTTACTACAATTGTTGTTAAGTCATGCAATTGAACTGTCCCATTGGCTAGCTAGTTGTAATTTTTTATGATGTCCATAGCGACTTAAGTATGCATTTAACTGAATGGTTTATGGCCTAATTGAAATTTGTAGGTTATTCTTTAACAATTTATTAGTTTAAACCGGGTTCAAGTCTCAGTTTCATGAAAAATAAGATTATTGAAAATTTCAAAACAGAAATCTAGAGGACAACTTCCTATACTTTAGGTTATTCAAATGGCCAGCTCTAAGAACCAGTTACAACAAATAAACCAGCCAGTTCCATCCAAATCCCAAAACCAAACTGCACCCACCCCAAATTTCATTCCTGCAACTCTAACAGCAAATTCCAGTTGATACAAAATGAAGCAAATGCAAATTAAAGAAGGCGTAAGTGAACTTGCGGAATATTTTTTTATGATTATCTTGTGGAATGCTGGAGCCCCTTATGTGCAACACATTTAATGCACAACAAACATTAAATTCAAAAAAAACAAACAAAAAAATATTTTCGACTTGATTTATAATTTTTTACGGTTTTGCATAATCATAATTCACGCGTCGATTCCTCGAGAAATAAAAAAATTAAAATTTTCATCTTTTTGGTTTCTTAAAAATTACGCTAAGGAGGTCAATTTTGTAAATTGCGACGACACACTTATGAGCGTCGTAAAAGATTAAGGAGACAGATTTACATAAACACATGCGTGCTTTTTTGTATCTATGTACAGTAGCGCTCAAAATGATAAGGACAGCAACATTTTTTTCACATTTTTATTAATTTTGACGCACAGGATTATCTAAATTTGCTGAAATTTGGACCAGTTATACAGTTTTAAATATCCTTTCATACAATATATACTAATTGTACTTTAATTAAATATTTTTGAAAAAAACGGTAAAAAATCAAAATGGCTCCCGCTCAAAATGATAAGGACAGTAGATTATGTTAAGATTTTATTATATTAAGTAATATTATGGAACTTTTAAGACTTAAAACATTATGTTTGATTAATATTCTTTAAATAAATTTATAATTCACGCTTCTAGATGTAAGACTTCTTACTTAATTTTAGTGTTTAAAAATATGTGAAAATTTTGTCAATTTATGATAAATTGTCGTACAGAAACTTGTTTATTTCTTAGGTTAACTACCAAAAATTATAGATAATTTGATTATTTATCAATTTATGATCAAACATTTAGATAACTGTTAATTAATGTAATTTTTTTCAAAAATTTTATTTTTCCTTTGCGAAATTTTTGTGAACTTAAGTCGACAATTTGAAAAAAAATTGTTAAATATTCGCAAAACAATGCTTAAATTAGTATATTTCTCTTCCATTTTAATTGTTTAATAATATATATCAAGCAATTGAACCACTTCGAAAGGATAAGTGACTAAGCAATCGTTCTCTTTCAACAACAAGACTTTTTGATATGGCAAAAATGAAAAATGTGTTGGAACCTAAAAAAATATGATTTACATAAGTGAAGTTTTAACATAAAATAATTAAATTTGGCTTTTTTAATTGAATAACACTCTATTTTGTATTCTATGAGTGCTAAATTTAACATTTTTACAAAAAAATATTTCTTCATATTTTTTCGTCTTGAGAAGCTCATAGAGAACGATTGCTTAGTCACTTATCCTTTCGAAGCGGTTCAAGTGCTTGATATATGTTATTAAACAATTAAAATGGAAGAGAAATATACTAATTTAAGCATTGTTTTGCGAATATTTAACAATTTTTTTCAAATTGTCGAGTTAAGTTCACAAAAATTTCGTAAAGAAAAAATAAAATTTTTGAAAAAAATTTACATTAATTAACAGTTATCTAAATGTTTGATCATAAATTGATAAATAATCAAATTATCTATAATTTTTGGTAGTTAACCTAAAGAATAAACAAGTTTCTGTACGACAATTTATCATAAATTGACAAAATTTTCACATATTTTTAAACACTAAAATTAAGTAAGAAGTCTTACATCTAGAAGCGTGAATTATAGATTTATTTAAAGAATATTCATCAAACATAATGTTTTAAGTCTTAAAAGTTCCATAATATTACTTAATATAATAAAATCTTAACATAATCTACTGTCCTTATCATTTTGAGCGGCAGCCATTTTGATTTTTTACCGTTTTTTTCAAAAATATTTAATTAAAGTACAATTAGTATATATTGTATGAAAGGATATTTAAAACTGTATAACTGGTCCAAATTTCAGCAAATTTAGATAATCCTGTGCGTCAAAATTAATAAAAATGTGAAAAAAATGTTGCTGTCCTTATCATTTTGAGCGCTACTGTATCTGTGTAGTTCTCCAGACTTTTTTTTTCTTTAAATCCAAAACGCAGTTTCCTCCTGAAACAACTTTAAATGTCGCTGCTTCTCTTTAAATTGCCCAGCTGATAAATTTTCATTCTTTAACTTGAAATCACGCCGCAATAAATTAATTTTTTTCCTACCCCATATCAGGAATTATTCTTTTTATTCTCTACTGACTTCTGCCGTCATCTAAATATCTCTTTTATAGAGAAAATGAAAATTTATGTCACAATGCTCATTATCATTTCTCAAGTTCTTCTTATTCTTGGCTTCTTATTCTTCTTCGTGTTTTGTGGAGGAATTGTTGTTGGTTTTTGGATGTGGTTTTATTGAGGTAAGTTGGGTGGCTGTTGCATTTATTGCTAGAGTTGGAGGTATTTTTGAGTACATCAGAATAAATTCAGGCTTGAGGTACCTAAAGACGTGTCAAAGCTAGAGCTCAAAGCTGCTTGAGCTTCAAACTCACTCTCATCTACATCATGATCCAATTAAGTTAAAAAAATTCACACATAACCTCAAAATTTGCACTCATTTCTGCCTTTTCCCCTTAAAAATGCGCTTTATGTCCTAACATACGCATCACTTATAACTCACAGTCTTCTTAATTTCACGATTTAAGTAGAAAAATGTTCTATAGCTTAAAGGGAAGCTACAAAATCTCTCGTATGTACGTACATTAGTGAGAGAAAATACTACGAGAATTATACAAAAAAGACCCCCAGATATAAATCCACACTAATATCACAATTGGAAGTTATGATTCAGTGGATTTACTTTGAAAAAATAAATTGTGAACAAAAAAAAATTTCTCATAGATTTTTTTTCTACTCTTTAATGAATTTGTAGAGTTAAAATCAGTATAATGACTGATAATTAGAAGTAATGATGGTAATCATTTTGTGATTAAGGATTCTCCATCTCCTGTATAGAAAGACAAAGTTCAAGAAGTAAAACGAATGAGTGAAGATTGCAGAAAAAATGAAGGTAATTTGAATGCAAATCTGAATTCGAAAAGGGTAACTTTTATTCTGCTTTAATTAATGACTGAAGAGATTCTCCACTTTTCAGTTTATAAGATTCAAGACTCAGTTTGTGAACTCATTTTGAAATTTTAATTATTTTTCAAGTTGGAATGATTGTTGAGTGCTGGTTTATATGCTAAATAGATATTTTAAATAATAGTTGAATTTTAATGGATGTAAAGAAAGGGATTGTTCAAAAGTGACGTCTATTGAGCATGAAAACAGCATGAGTAGTTAAGATGCATCCTAAACTAATCATCTAGGGGTTCAAAAATCTCGAGTCATTCTTAGACGTTATTTATGAACTCCCGAAAATCCATACTGATGAACAATTCCAAGTCAGTACTCAAAACGGCACAATCCACCAACAATACATGACCTACTCCATAAAATGCATCCCTAGACATCAATTCAACAATTAGCTTTATTGTCACATAAACACTACGAGTTTATTCTAATTAAGTGCTATTATGAAGATCTTTAATGCAGTCCTTACACTTATATACACTCATCCTCTGGGACACCCCAGGATTGTTGTCACAAAGTCTCACTTGACGTCAAGAATGAAATTGAAATTTTCCATGCGTAACTGACTCTTCATAAAATAAATAAACAAATGATGAGTTTCAAGGGGGACATATTAAAGGATTTTTAGATGAAAATGTCATGCTCGTTCACATTTGACTGATGATTTGATGTGTTAACCTTTGGTATGGGTATGGATTGTAATGAGAACTGTCAAAAATTGAGATTCTTGGAATTTTAAGGTCAATTTATGGGAAATTTTGTTTGATTTTGAATATTTTTGAATGAAAGCTTGAGAATCAGGAGTGTTGAGCTCTAAATCCTTGAAATCGGGTAAATGTTGAACCTTTAACACGTCTCAGAATTCAACAATATCAAAACTGTATCAAAAAATTGATAAAAATTCTAACCTAATTCCCAAACAAATACACAAATTAGCACGCGTTCAGCAATTTAATCAACATCGTCATCAGTATCATCATTGTAGTCTATGTAATTATGAGTTGACGAAGTGTGACTTGTAAATAATTCTTCTCCGTTTAAATTGGATTTGTCTTAATTAAAATTTGTTTGTTTGTGCATCAAGTCGACGTGCATCTCATTGAGAATATTGTTTAAATAAAATGCTGTAAAATGAAATTAAGCTGGAATAAATAAACAAATAGAAGGTGAATAAATGAAAATAATTTATTTTTTTGTTGAAAATTAGAATGGAAAAGTTTTATTTTTTGTTTTTAATTTTTCTTTTTTGTTTCTTTTTCGTTGTTTTTTTATTTTTTTTTTTTTTGTCTTTTTTTATATTGTCAGATGGGAGTTTGGACTCGACATCTGCATCTTCATCAAATAAATTTTTAATTATTTCAAATTAAATTTAAATTGTAGAAAATTATTAAGTTTTGCAAAAATAATTCAATTTTTTATATTTTTATAGTTTTATAAATTTTTTGATTGAGTTTTATCATTCTTAATTGATAATTTTTCTTTATTTTATAGTTTTTCCTGCTTATAAAAAGATTTGTTTCAATGGAGGCTTCAGCAACCCAGCATCACACTTAAACTCACTGATATTCTCTTTATTTTATAGCTTTGTGCATGATTTTTAACCCCAGAAATCAGAGATTACGCTCTAAATCGTTAGAGGTACCAATAAACATTAAATATGTTGATGTTTCTAAGCCTCAGACACTCAAAAAAATATCAAGTGTCCCAATAGCCCATCCCTCGATATCCTGAGGTTAAAAATACCAAAAATAATCAATATTCTCAATTATTTCAGGAACCAAAAAATAAAAAGAACATCAAATTCCCCAATTGATAGTCTGTATAACCTACTCAATTGGCATGACCCCCATTTTTTTGTATTAATCTCCAAATTGCTGATGGTTTGAATGCTGGATCGTGAAATTTTTGTCGTTAGCTTCGCAATCAGATTAAAACATTATCACAATTTGGTTTCATCTACCTCACATCTTTGGAGCTTCCTCTTGTGGTAGTCTTTTTTTTTTGGTGATTTTTGTTTAATTCATTTTGAGATCATTAGAATTTTTTGAAAGCTTAAGTGCAATAATGTGGATTTTTAAGAGGAAGCGACTCCGTAGTAAATTTAAAAATGCAATATTCTATGTTTTTTTTGTCTTAAGTTTTACACTGGATCCTTATTTAATGGGAATGGTGTGAGATGGAAACTTGAGGGAATCTTTGAAGAAATGACTTTAAAGCTTGCAGATGTGATGAAAGTATTTTAAAACTATTTGAAGATTGACATTATCTTTGAACTCAAGAATATTGAGATTTAGTAAGGATTCGAGCTTATCTATCAATATTGAGTACTAGCTCTGAGTTCACTTGATCAGCTTGATTAAAATTGGATCAGTATGAAGAGATATGCATCATGTAATATTATCCAAAAAAAAATAGTGACCCTACAATAGCTACACTACTCAAATTATAAAGTAATAGCTTCAAATACCACATCAATATATAAATCTTATGCCATCTACTCAAACTACTTGCACATTTTCTAAATCAGACTACAACCTAGTTTCCAACTCTGCCAAATTTTCATTATTCTATAATTAATCAATTTTCTCTCTTTAAAATTCTTATTTTTCATATTTCTTATAACAATTTTGTTATTTTTTTTTTTTATTTTTAAGACAACATGACTTAAATGCTAATTAAACTTAAACGTTTAAGAGTTAAAAAATAATTTGAAAATATAATTTTGAAAACTTCAATTCGATTAAAAATTTTAAATTTTTCTATCACCAAATTTAATCAATAAATTTTTTTTCTATATTTTTATAAAAATATTAATTTTCATTATTTTTCTCTTAAACTCTTAACATCTATGGATATAATATGCGTGTGCTGCGGCCTATGAGGTTGATGATCGGACAGAAAATGTTTAAGACATTTAAATATTTGTTTAAATAGACTGCTTGTGGATATACTTTTCTCATGTTATTGACGAGGTCATTTTAGGTAGAATGTATAAAAATCTTGGGTTCTATTAAGATTTAAATTTGATTATCGCGATGTTTCGAACAGGATCTTAAATCATTTGTAAATTATTATAGACTTGGATATTCTCAGAAATTCCTTAGGGGTCATTAACAAATAACGTTCAAATTTTGAGAGGAGAATGAGGAGGGGAGATGTAAGTAGCAATATTAATGAGCAGTTCTTAACAAGGATTGGTAAAGGAACCCCTCAACACACCGTTAGAGCCCCAAAATTACCATTTTTGAAAAACATCATTTACAAACAAACCCAATCCTCAATTTACAATTCGATTAAAAAACAACCTCATCCATATGAGGCTATAAAGGAAATATCTATGAGATCAATCCACAATTTAAATTTCAACAGTTTTTGCGTAAATTGCTGAATCTTTCTACCTGTTTTTTTAACTGAATTGATTTCATTTCATTTTATCGTCTTCTCGCGTCTTCACTTGTTCGTCTGTTTAGGCACATGTCGGGATATTATCAACCTTGAACAATATCGAGCTCATTAACATTGTCTCTAATGCTGTTCATGTCGTTGCATGATTTTATTTTGAACCGTTAAGGATTACAATGTTAATTTTTATTAAGTAGATTTATGAGAAGTAGATCGAATTGAGCTTATTAAGTAGATTTTTAAGTATTGAATGAAATGAAATTAGACAATTGAGAGTTTCGCAAAGATGATGTCATGCTTAAAGGCTTTAAGTTATAGACCCGCAAAATCTGTATTAAAAGATTTAATCTCTTTAAAAAATCGAGATCGGCGCTTCTTATTCTTCATTCTATTGTTTAGCATTTCTTTATTGCCTTCTAAATAAGCAAATTATATTTTCGAGTATCTACGTCTTCTTCTATTTATTCACAGCTCTTACCGACGTAATTTATTAAAATACACTTAAGTTCATTAAGTCGTAATTTGATGAGAATTATTGAATAAAAAGAATTTGCCACATCTATGAAAATTATGTAATTTTATAAGTAATTCGGTTAGACTAAGGAGTCTAGAGTGTTGAATAAATTGGAATTATGTGAATGTACTCAATATAAATTGAATTTTTTAAAGTAGGTGTTGAAATAATTTTAATATTTTGATAATAATTCAATAGAAATCATCTAAATTAAGACATAATACTCTGTATAATAGAGAAATAAGCCTCGCAAATCTGATTAATTACAAAACATGACATTATAGACTATAAGTTCGTTTATAGCTACCAATAAATTATGACATCACGATCTATAAATTATTTCAATATTGTCATCATGTTCAACCATTAATCCGCCTATAACCCTCAATAAATATGACAGCTTATTAAGTTTTCATCCTTGACTTTGACCTCCGCAAAGTTTCGCGTGAGCAACGCATAATTTATGATTTATTTTCTCTCAGCGAATAAAACAAAATGTCTCGTATCACTCAAGGCCACAGCTTTACAGTTAATAATAAAATAGGAGCAAATAATAATAAAAATATTGAAATAAAATTTTTTTTTTGCGTTTGTGAATATTTTTTTATGTTTGTACTTTTTGAAATTGAAAAGTTTTTGTCATTTTTTTGGGCTGACAAAAAGTTCTTTGCCTGTGATTTTCGATTGCAAATGTTAAAGAATTGCACAAACATATTTTAATGAATTTTAAAATGAACATTTAAACTTAAATAAAAGTTTGTTTTAATTATTAAAAAAATATTTAAAAAGGTTTTGAGCATTTTTGCTGAGGGTGTCGATATAATTTGGGTTATTTAAAGTTTGAAATATTTTTAAAAAATTGCTAGTTGGGCAAGTAACGAATCTGGAAGTTCGTATACAAAATTGTATAATTTTGACTAAGTATTTCCCGGGTTTCAAAGAGCTATTGCCAAATTTATATGTGTTATACATGATTTTGACTAAGATTGTGTCTATAACACTAGTTTCATATATTATTATTTTCAATTTCTAAATAAATTGCTAAGAACTTCAACATTTAAAGTCCAAGCTTCCATACCAAGGGTACCTAAATACCCCAAAAAACATCTTTATCTTGTTTGGATGATGCGACATCACATCCATCCTAAAACTCATTACTAGCTGCCCTAATTTCCACTCAAAATGTCAAAATTAATTTTATCAGACCCCCAAGACACAACAAAAATGCGTAAGCCCTATACTGATTGCTTAATATTTTGTAAAAAATAATAATAAAAGTTATGGATAAGTCAGCGAATTATGCATGACAAAAAAATATAGTAATTACATTCACTGAGTAAAATCTTAAAGAGAACATTACAATTTTTTTTGATTATTTTTTCATTAAATTTCATTGTCATCTGTAAAAATATGTGCAAAAATACTTATTTTTACTTATTGTACTATGGCAGATTTATCACTTATTAATTAATAAAAAATTTTATCACATACATTCAATCACTGTTCATCTTCACTATAAATCCTACTTACCAATTTGTTTTTGGAGCTCAGTCAGGTAGTAGTTTAAGGCAGAATTGCCACTTCGAGACATTTCGCCTGCAATAACATTGTAGACGGCATCTAATGCCTTCTTTTTTAAGGCATCATTAGGCAATAGAATTTTAAGCTCAACTTGAGCGTCTTGTTCTTGTTTAATGTTCATAAATGTTCCTGGGATTGTAGCTATTGGGGATTCAACTGGACTTTGATCCATCATCAATGTTTCAGTTGAATCTTGTTTCTGCATCAAATGTTGCTTTTTGGATGTTGATGGAGCATTACTTCCTTCAATCTTACGCTTCTTTGGAAGTGTCTTTGTAGTTTGTTCGTCTTTTTCCTTGTCACGTCTTGGACATGAGCATACCTTAAAGTGCATGCACTTTCTGCCTAAGATATTTTGATATTGATCTTCAAGTGTAAAAATCAATGATGTAGACTTGCGATTCATCCCACCACTGCAACTATTTTGGCATGTAAATGTCAACTTCAATGGCTCATTTGATGCAATGTTCTTCATTGGAACCAAAACTGCCAATTTTTCTTCGAAGACTTTACCATTCTCATTTCCTCTGTAAACTGATTCAGTGTTATCGCATCTTAAAATGTGGTCAGCAAAGCAACCAGTATACTTTTCCTTATGATTTGGACACTTCTTAACCGGCTCTGGTAAATCATTCTGTGATGAATAAACAATCATGGCACGAATGAATAGTTCCGCATTAACATCATAACGAACAAATGCTGGATATACGTTTAATGGCGTGTTGATCTTCACAAAAACTTTATTAAGTGATCCAGAATACAACCATGATGACTTATTTCCAGATTCACTCTTCAATTGCATGTCAAACTTCCAATTGTTTTCCGACATGTCTTCTAAATTTGGAAGTTGACGTAAATGATCTAAATTTGGCAGTGGCGGGATCTCTAAGATCTCATGAAAATATTGAGGATATTCTTCTTGAGCTAGAAAACCCAAGTTGTTGACGAGGGTCTGTGAGTCGATTTCGAGACTCTTTAATTCACCATTTTGACTTAACTGGCTACTCAACAGGTTCAACTCACCAGTATCGAACCGGTCGAGGTCAAGATCACTAGAAAAATTAAGGATCAACATTTAGAATATACAAAAATAAATTTTAAATTTTAAATTCTTACGGTGAGCTCAAAGAATATAACGAATCTTGGGATTCAACCATTTTTGAAGCTTGTTTCTTCTTCTTATTATTATTTCACAGTGATGTTTGTTGTTGGAGTTCAAGGTTTTTAAAAATCTGTCAATAAAGTGTCAATTTTTACTACTGGATAAATTATAATCGCAAGCTACAATGTTCTTTAGTAATCTTTACTAAAATTCAACATAATTTCTTCAATAATTCAACGATAATATTCAATTTTAAGAATCTTAACCAAGTTAAAAACTTTTATTCATCATTTAAAGTACATTTCAAGTTGTAAAACTTACCAATTTTCCCATAAATTAAAATAACACGGCTTTATGCACAATTTAAAGCAACACTAGTCCATTTAAAGTTTGAATTTACTTAAATAATTTCGAATTGCAGCAGCTACGACATGAACAGCGTATGGATTGTTACAAAATATGGACGATTTCACCTCTACACTGTTAAGAACAAAATGGATAGTGGTTGAAGTTGATGGATACGACTTGTCAATCGGTTCAAAAATAATTTTAAATTAAACATAGCCGTTACGATAAGTTGGGGAGAATAAATTTTAAAATTTGAAAATTTTAGTTGAAAATTGAAAATTTTGTTCGATTTATGACAAAAAAATTGAAAATTTTAAGCAGTTTTCATCAAAACTTGTCATAAGTTTGCAGGTTAGACTTTAAATTTCTGCAATTTCACATTAGAATTATCAAAATTCAATCAATTAACCGTAAATATAACATGCGGATTTTAAAAAGTGTTATATATAACAAAGGAGTAATGTTGGAGAAGTTGACACACAACTTCTATCAAAATCTAATATTCTATATTAATTGTGTAAGTGTAGTTGTGTGAAAATTTTAATTTTTATGCAACTTCAATTAAAGTTTGAAAATTTTTTATAAATTCATGCAAAACTAGTTTTTTTTTCAAGAAGAAGAAAATCTTATTTGATTTTTTTGAATAACTTCAAACAGGCTTGTTAAAATGAAAAGTAAAGTTTAATGAACTAAGAAAGATCCCGAAGTTAAAAATGAATGATGCAAGTTATATTTTAACTGGTTATAAATATGATTTTTATATATGTTATACTTAACATCACCCCATGTAGTCATTCATTTTCTAACTCCAACATGACTTTTTGGTGAATTGTTGGCATCTAATGATTAACAAATTGGAAAGTTTTCAATTAAACGAATCTACCCCCCCCCCCCCCCCCTCATCCATTACTTTTAGAGACTAAGGAGAGAAGAAAAATTTACGATTTTGTGAAAGTTGAAACAAAGGAAATTAAATTATCACGATTTTTTAAATCAAACCTTTAAATTTAAAACAATTCTTGCATCATCCTTTTTTATCAAACGATCATGACCTCGCCGAATTCAGAAAATGCGAGAATGGAAGAAAATTAGATTAGCGATTTTGAAAGCATCGTCACACGCCTTTAAATTTTACTGACGTCAGAAGTTTCTTTTGATGCATTTTTATGCATAAATGTTTGATCATCTGATTGTAAATCTCTATCTTTGACAAATGTACAATGAATAATAAGTTTTAAGCGATATCTGCATATTTCCCAAAAATTTCCTTGATTTTTAACAATTAGTATATTTTTTAAAAAGCAACAACTAGAATCATTTCCTTTCGAAAAATTAAAATTTAAAAGATCCCAACATAAAGAGGCTCCATAAAATATTGAAAAACTCAATGTTGTAGAATAAAGGAGAAATATAAGTCATTAGGGAATATTCGCGCTAAAGTTCTTTAAATTACTACTTGACAAAAGTCATGTACACCTTCATCTACAGTTAATTTCGATTTTGACTAGTCAATCATGAATCATTATTCCGCATATAAAACGATAATACTGATCATCACTTTAAAATATAAGTGATAAGAACAAAATCCTTGTACATGTGTTTTACTTCACTTAATGTGATATAAGTTTTAATCAAAGTAAGCATGGATTTTTCATTTTTTGTGTCAATTTAATTTGTTTTAAAAAAATCCAGTTTTACCTTAAAATTTATAAAATAGATTTTACAAAGTTCCACTCGAACAGTGCCAAATTGAATGATTTCAACAGCTCAATTACTCTTATCAAGTGTTTTATCAAGCTAATTGTACTTACCTTCAATAATCAACCAGACTGTGAGGCGACACTTAATCAATTCTCAATTAATAAACGCTTGCTCAGGTCAAAATCTGAACGACAAATGAGAATAAAAAATAATATCTTTAATTGTATCGGAAATTAAATTTTCAATAATTAACGTTATCAACTTGTCAGACCGAATAGAAAGCTCCTTTTGATAGAGTTTAAATATCACCCGATTATTCGGTTATGTTGAGTATGTTCTGTTAAAGTCGGAAATAGTGACGATCACCTTTCGGTAGCAGCTATAGACACTCTGGAAAAGCGAATGTGAGTTGAATATGATGTTTCCATAAAGGCACGAAAGATTTGTGCAACGAAAAACTAGCTACGCTTGATTCATTTTTGTAGGTTCAAATTCAGAAATTATTCATATCGATGTAAGACGTTGCAATTTATGATTTCGTTTTTAAAACTTTCGAAAATCCACGTCCGTTTATTGAATATCTTTAGTACTTTCCTATTTGTTAATACCACACTTATGATTTATAGATACAAAGAAGTCAATTAAACGCCCAATAACCAGTAGAACTTAAAATCAACTGAATCATTTCACAAGATTATAGAAATTAAATACTCCTGCTTCACAATCAGTCAATAATCATGACCTATCCTAAGAAATATTCATTTTCTTTTAAAAAACTTCGCTCGTTTGGCATGTGATACGGTATCGCGCCTTAAAATAATCAATATCGCACATCATACGGTGAAATTATCTTTCTATAAGCTGTGGTAATCTTGAAATTATTAACAATTGAATCAACTTTTTCTTATCGTTGCTTATTTCTTTTATTGTTTTCAATAATTCAGAGATCCACATGTCACATTGTGAAAACGTTAGTTTGACTCCCTTTAAAATCTGATCTTTTCTTCATCACATAAGATTAAGTTACAAAGATTTTCTACAAAACGAAAGGTTTTTATCCATTTTATAGTTTTATTTGTCATTTAACTTGTCTTTAAATGTCGGTACAACTCAATTCACTTGTTCAAAAACTATTAATTTTGAACCTTTAAAAACTACCTGTTGCAACTTAATTTCTTTAGCGGTTTTAAAGTTTTTGAATTCAAATTCCTATTCATAGCTTTGCAATGTTTTCAATTTTCACCACAACAAAGAAACTTTGTAATTTAAATCAAAGAGCATCAATGAACAGTCACCCAAAATACCTCAACTCAATCAGACTTCTTTAAATATTTGCAAAACCTCAAAACCGACACAAAACTTCTCTGAAAAATCATCAAAAAGTTGCGCAAATTTCAACACAATTCAAAGCTATTAATATTATGATACGATAACTTCAGTCGAGGATCATTTGAAGTGATGTAAACAACACTCGATATTTTTATAGGTGAAAAAAATATTTTTTATTATTCAGCCTTCAGTGAGACAAACAGATAGTCAAATATTTGTGGATAATTTGTGTCAAAACGCAAATAATTTAGGCATGTGCCGGTGACATTTTTGAAAAGCAATTTAAGTGTTGTGGAAATTTTTGTGGCTTCTTTTGTGTTAAAAAAAAAATCAAAAATTTCTTTGTGTTTTGTGAGAAAAAAATTGAAAGTGAAATTTCAAGGACCTGCCTTAATTAGGTGAGTGAAGGCAATTTCTAGATAACTGCTTAATTAATCCATATCAGATAATCTACAGATAATGATAAAACTCTTTATTAATCTACCCGTATTAAATTAAATAATTCTCGTGACAGCTTTAATTTTGTTATCAGCAAAACGGTTAATCACACTTATTGAATTTTGCATACATGAACAAATTCGTTCCGTTGCTTCGTCACTTTATTTATTTTTTTCAGTCATTGAATATTTACTATGATGAATCAAATATAAACAACATGTGTTATTGAGAGCTTTTTGAGAGTGCAGTGAGAAAAAAAGTCTTCCTTTAAATTGATTTACTCGCTCGCGCACATACACAGCTGAAAAAAAGTTACAAGATACATGAATGCGATTAATTTTCTGTTGATGAAAATTTTAAACTGCGAGACTTTAGTTTGTCATCGACAGTTGAGTAATCTAGTTGCACGATAGCTCTTATTGAATTTTAAATTTTTTAAAAGAAAAAAAAAAGAATATTTTTAGAAATTGAATAGAATCATTATTTTATAAATCATTTGTAAGGTAAACTAGTGTCAATAAAAATTTATATTTTAGTGACTTTTCTTAGAGATTTTGATAAAAAGAAAAATCGAGTTTTGAATTTAATTTTTAAAACCAAATTGAAATTTTCAAATCTCTCTGAAAAGTTGAAATTTCATTCAAAAATTAATTTTTTTTTTAAATTTGAATCAAAACATTTATTTTTTGAAAATATTATAAGAAAATTAAATTTAAATTTTTTTAAAAAAAGGATAAATTTTATAAATTAAAAAAAAACGTCCTTGAAAATTTGCAGTCAAATTAAAAATGTAAACTCAAACCGCAGGTTTAAAATGCTTTATCTCATTAGTTAAACAAATCCGCGCAAATTAATCCTCAAAAACAAACAAATCAATCATTTTTGCATAAGTGTGACTTTTCAAATATCTTGCAAATAGCAGCAGGAATCAGTGACCTTTTAACTTAAAGCATTACGACTTTTTTGATCATTCAAACTTTTACCAAGAAATTAAAGGATTTTGCGTAATTTGTTAAAAAAAATAATGAATTTTTAGATTTGAAAAATCATAAAATTATTGATTTCAATTTGAAAGTAATTTGAGCAACTTCAAAACCTTCTCATTTGCAATCAAAAAACAAAAATATCTCATTTCCGATAACATCAATCCTTCATTTGTCATAAATAGTTTTTTTGTTGTGAGCCTTTAATGCCAGCATGCAATAAAAATTGTTTGCCGCTAACAAGTTCAATATCGTCATTTGAAGGCCGAAAATTGTAAAAATTTTTTTAACTCAATTTTGCTCCCTGCAATGTGCAATCATAGAAAAAATATTAAGCTAAGCTGACATTTCATATGCAGAACTCGTTTGTTTGTTTAAAAAAAGACAAATTTCTTTTAGGCACTCAAAAAGTATTTTTTTAATAATTCTATCAGCAACTAGATTACTAAAAATATTAAATTTATTTCTTAGAATTCAACAAAATTTATTCAAATTAAAAAATAATAAAAAAGGTAAGCAAAATAAAATAAAATTGCAATCACATTGAAAGTCGTCCGGAAACATTGTAAAGATTTGCATAATATTTGCACAAAGTAATTTTCACTTTCGGCTCCAATCGATACATGTTCATGCATACTAGTTCGGTGTGAAGCAAGAAGAAGAAAATCTTCATT